GGCCATGGCTCGGAAGCGACGGGGCATCGTGACCTGCGGCGGGCTGGATGACTCCCCGCCTCATCACCGACCAGCAGCAAATATGGTGCAATGGATCCTGTAATGACCGGACGGGGACCACGTGCAGCACGCAATCCAGTACCAAGGGGCCACGTACAGTCATGGAAACCGTTTGGAGACTCCGCCAAGGATCGTGAGTTCTGCAGGACGCGTAGTGGGGAGTATGGTATTGAGACACTACTGCAACAGCTGCAGCTCATGCAGGCAAGGCTAGGCTTTCTCGGCATCACTGGGGAAAACTCTGATGCGGCTTTTTTGCAGGTCATGTTCTTTCGAGTACTGAAGCACCGGCTTGGGGGCCCCGTTCTAATTACGTGAAGTCTGGGTGGTACGGTGCAGCGCTAGCGGGCTTACCCATGCACCTCCGCAAATTCGGCTTGCGGCGGGCCAGTTCAGGTACGCCGCCGCCGAGCATCCAACGACCATGAGACGAGACGAGAAGGGTTATAAAGGTAACGGGGTCCGCTCTTGCTGCTGGGTTGGAAGGTACTCTCATCGGCTGCAAGCCTCATTCTCCTGTACTCTATCATCTTATCTTGTTATCATCCACATCCAGGGTTACTGTTTCACCGTCAGGTACCTGGAAGATTGTAGCGTTGTACCGACATACTTCGCTGTCACTCACATCCTGACTGGCATCGGACGTGTTAAACGGGTATACGGGCTACTGCAAGATCTGCCTGTACACAATTTGCTCTCCCGATTCCGCAGACCCATCAAACAAAGAGCGGTGGATCATCTGTCCAATTGCCTCTACTATCCTTATCCGAAGCGGTGATCGACGGCTGCGGCTCGTTGGTTGTACTAGAAGGTAAGCTAACGTTCCTGCATCATAGCATTTTACGAGGCCCGAAATAGCGGTGCATCTGACATTCTTCGTATATCTGTATCGAACGGCCGACTAATTATAAGTTTGTAGGCTTGGTTTCGACTGCCCCTCTATTCAACGCCCCACTATCGCGCGATCGACCAAACTCGTTGCGCTTTCTTACCACGCCTGACGCGTCTCACTAAGCACGCATTTCTACCAGGCTTCGTCTCAATCGCTATACAGCACCTTTTTGGACGACTCACAGTTCAATTGCACACGCCCAGCATGGCTTCCACACCAGTTGACGCCGCAAATGGCCACCCAGCTCAGCACAAGCAGCTCGAGCAGCTCCTTCACACCCCAGACCGCCGCCCTTCACCTCTTCCCACACATCTGAGCGCACCAGGCTCAGGAAGCTCAACGCCGCGAATGATCCCCCAGGAGGGATCGGGCGGTTCCGGCTATGTTGCTCCTGTATTCGAGGGAAAGGCACAGCAGATGGAGGCCGTCATGGACGGCGTCGAGGAGAAGGGTTTCATGCCCCCAGAGCTCGTAGAATCAGAAACCAAGTGGTTCTACAACGAGCTGGGCATTGACGACATGTACTTTGCTACCGAGACGGTAGATGCGTAAGCACGGCTGCAATTCCTACGGCGACTGCGCTAACAAACGTTACAGAATCATCAGCCACATCCACTCGCTCTACGCCGCAAAGGTCGCCGCATATGCCAGAGACGACAAACGTCTTGAGATCAGGCTCGACAAGGAAGCCGCCGACCACGCCGTTTACATCGATACCAGCAGGCCCGGTGTGAGCGTCATCGACGGCCCTCAATACGAGCAACGTTTGGGCAAGAAGTACCTGGCTGTATCCAAGCCTGGTCTGGCATACCGTGTAGAGAGCTTCCGCTCCGAGAGCCCGCTGCCAGGAAGCGAAGACCAGCAATTGCGATGCTATTTCGTCTACCAATGCGACTTTGTCGACCCCAACCCCAGCGAGACGGAGACCGACATCGAGAAGATTGGTGACAAGCGTTTCCTGCAGAAGGCGACCAAGAACACCAAGGAGGTTTACCAACAAATTCTCCAGGTCGCTGTAGAGCGGACGGGCCCGGTCATTGACCATTTCGATATCGAAGGCTCAAGAGACAAGCGTCTCGTCGTCGGTTTCAAGCGCGGAAGTGCATTGGGTCTTTTCAGTGCCTTGAGCGATCTGTACCATTACTATGGTCTGACCACCTCGCGAAAGTACGTCGAGCAGTTCTCCAACGGCTACACCGTCATGTCCCTCTACTTGCGCCCGCTTCCAGGAGCTGCCGGTGCCAAGCACCCACCAATCGAAGCCTCAATCCACCAGATCACCAAGGAGGTTTCTCTGCTCTACTGTCTTCCACAAAATAAGTTCCAGACGCTTTTCGCTACGAGCAGACTGAGTTTACAAGAGACCATCTATGCACACTGCGTGTGGGTCTTCATTACTCACTTCCTCAACCGACTGGGAAGCGAGTACACTGCCTTATCGGCAATTCTGGACCCAGAAAACAGCGTACATGCCGAGCTGCTTTCCAAGCTGAAGCGCCGACTTCGTGCCGAGACCTTTACCGCTGACTACATCTACGAGATCATCATGACTTACCCAGAACTCGTCCACACCTTGTATCTTCCATTCGCGAAGACACACTACGTCCAGACCAGGGGCCAAGAGGACGACTTCCTGCCGACACTGAGTTATCTCCGTCTCCAGGTTGACAAGGTTCAGACAGACGCGGAGTTGACCGATACCATCAACAAGGCTGTTGCCAACGATCACCATGAGATGGTCATGACCGCCTTCCGTGTCTTCAATCAGTCGGTACTGAAGACGAACTTCTATACTCCTACCAAGGTCGCCATCAGCTTCCGTCTGAACCCCACCTTCCTCCCATCCACAGAGTACCCTCAGCCGTTGTACGGAATGTTCCTTGTCATCGGTTCTGAGTTCCGTGGTTTCCATCTCCGCTTCCGTGACATTGCTCGTGGAGGTATCCGCATCGTCAAATCTAGGAGTCAGGAGGCCTACTCTATCAACGCGCGCTCCATGTTTGATGAGAACTACAACCTTGCAAACACACAGCAACGTAAGAACAAGGATATTCCGGAAGGTGGTTCCAAGGGTGTCGTGCTCCTTGACTTCAAACACCAGGATAAGGCCCGGGGCGCTTTTGAGAAGTACATTGACAGTATCCTCGATCTACTCCTGCCCCCTACCAGTCCTGGTATCAAGGATCCTATCGTCGATCTCCACGGCAAGGAAGAAATTCTCTTCATGGGTCCTGATGAGAACACTGCTGATCTTGTCGACTGGGCCACTGAGCATGCACGCACTCGTGGCGCCCCATGGTGGAAGTCATTCTTCACCGGAAAGAGCCCCAAGTTGGGTGGTATCCCTCACGACCGATACGGCATGACGACATTGTCTGTCCGTGAGTATGTTTTGGGTATCTACCGCAAGCTTAACCTCGACCCCAGCAAGGTTCGCAAGCTGCAGACAGGTGGTCCTGACGGTGATCTTGGTTCGAACGAGATCCTGCTCAGCAACGAGAAGTACGTTGCAATCGTTGATGGTTCCGGTGTCTTGGTCGACAACAATGGTATCAACCACGAGGAGCTTGTGCGCCTAGCCAAGGAGCGTAAGATGATCAACCACTTTGACGCTTCGAAGCTTTCACCAGAAGGCTACCGTATTTTGGTTGATGACACCAACAAGCGACTGCCAAACGGAGACCTTGTCTACAACGGTACAACCTTCCGAAACACTTTCCATCTCCGCAGTGACATGCACTACGACTCCTTCGTCCCTTGTGGTGGTCGACCTGAGTCTATCGATCTGTCAACTGCCAACAAGCTCATTGTTGATGGCAAATCGGTAATCCCATACATTGTGGAAGGTGCTAACCTCTTCATCACCCAAGACGCCAAGCTCCGTCTCGAGAAGGCCGGTTGCATTCTATACAAGGATGCTTCAGCCAACAAGGGTGGTGTTACTTCTTCCTCGCTTGAGGTCCTCGCATCGCTGGCATTCGACGACGAGAGCTTCCTCAAGCACATGTGTGTTGGTGAAGATGGCCAGGCTCCGGAGTTCTACAACAACTACGTTCGCCAAGTGCAAAAGACAATCCAGAACAATGCACGTCTTGAGTTTGAGGCCATCTGGAGGGAACACCAGAACACTGGTCAGCCTCGCAGCGTCCTCAGTGACACACTCAGTAACGCGATCACGAAGCTGGACGAGGAACTTCAGAACACCGAGCTGTGGCACAATGTTGAGTTCAGGGAGTCGATCCTCAAGGAGGCGCTGCCAAATATCTTGCTTGAGAAGATTGGTCTAGACAAGATCATTAAGAGGGTAAGTCATAATCAATACCGAGCAAATGAAGCATGGACTAACCAATATGCAGGTACCGGACAACTATCTTCGTGCCATCTTCGGAAGCTACCTCGCCAGTCGCTTCGTTTACGAATACGGTGTATCGGCCAGTCAATTCGCTTTCTTCGACTTCATGAACAAGCGTATGGCGAAGGGTAGTAAATCAGCTGCGCACTAGGAGGCTTTCATGAGTATTAAGCATGAGCGTCAAGGCTCAAAAGGCGTTATGGAATGGATTCAAAAGTTACCTCAGGAGGGTCAGTGATATTCTCCGACCATGGACATGGACGGCGCTTAGGGGATCCCATCGTGTGGGTGCTGAGACGGGCGGCTATTTTGGCTGTACCAACGAACGATAGATGAATACGATTTATTCAATTCATGGTTATGCTATGAGGATACTCAAACATTCATCCGCGCCTGTGATTAGCTGAGTTCTTGTGGTTGTCAGAAAGGATCCCGATAACGTGGTAGGGCCGCAGAGAGCGGTGAATTGCGAAGGAGGCACACAACTTGAGTAGCAAAGGATGCAGAGCTGAGTAGGCTATTCCAAAACGAAACAGCCCGATCGGGAAGCTTGATCCTCGAAATAACATGATGTGTTCTAGCGGATCTCTCATTGGCTCAGCTGACCTTGCCATGTGTTGTTGTGATGAGACACGTCCTCCATCTCGCTTGGAAGTTTAAAGTGGGAGCTTCCCCCGCCCATTCTGACCTCGACCGCCCACCTTCAGCAACAACAATCTTTGTCGCATTCACGAACCGCCCCTGGAACACTGTCGCCAATAGCTGTAAGTAAGTCGCCTAGGCTTTCTCTGCCACCTTTCCATATTCCCAGCGCAAATACCCATGTATTCGCCTGCTTTTGCGCACTTTGAAAGGCACGTTGGTGTCATGCCAGCGGCTTTGCGCGCGCGTTCTGCATAACGCGCTTCTCCTGTCTTCTTACTACGTGTGCAATGGTCGCCTGCATTTCCTGTCTCCCTATTTCGTCTTTGAAAGAGATAGCTCGTTGATAAGCTTCGCTTTTCGCGCACTGCTTCCACACTATGCGGCACGCGTGCTAACTTCCGTCACGCAGCTTCGACTCATCACTCCACACGCCACACAATCACTTCAAAGACACCCATCCACTATCTAGAAATCTCTAGAACAATTAAGATGGCAGCAACTACGCGCGCGAGAACTGGTAAGTTTCCTCCCCCCTTCACAGACTGCCTTGTACTGCCCCCCACCACGCCTCAATACCTCGGTTGCCATTCCCAAACATACGCAGTAGCATACTGACTTGTTCACGAAGGCAACTCTAAGCCCCGTCTTGTTCAGCAGATTGAGAACGCAATCGCGCCTACAAAACGCAGCACGACCACCAAGGCCAACACATCGAAGCCCCGCACCAGCAAAGTAGCTTCTGGCCGCGTTACTAAACCCAAGGCTACCAGCAGCACAACTACTACCAAGAAGACTACTACGACCAAGAAACCTGCTGCAGCACCAAAGAAGACCACCGGTGCGAACGTGAAGACTGTCAAGAAGCCGAGGACAAAGACTGAGAAAGTTGTGGATAAGATTGTTGGAAAGGCGGAGCACATCGTTGGTGATGTTGAAGGCAAGCCAGGAAAGAAGGTAAGTCATTCCTACACATCTAGAATAACAGAAAGCCATGTTAGCTAACACTACTATCTAGGCCGCAGGTACCGCCAAAGCACGAGGCACAGATTCGACCACCAAGCGTGCCGCACCGCGAACTCGAGGCGTCAAGGCCTGAGAGAATCCTTGCATTTGTTTGTTCCATAGAATGTGATCGTCGCGGCCGCATTTTCTTGCTACGTGCCTCGCTTGCATCGTCACCTGTTTCTACGTAGAGCGAGAGCCATGGGATCCACCATGTTTCCCCTTGGTTACGAGTTACGATAAGCCTAGTTTCTTCCCTAGTTGTCAGCGTTCATGTTCGGAATGTGTATGATAAGATACCCAGGCGTTTTTGATGCTTTTGTTGTTAGACAATAGGACTGTTACCAACCAACATATCCGAATATGTTTCAATGTGTTTATCTGCTTGTGATTGTAGAACAGGAAGCAGTCCTTGTGACAGATTAATGTGCGTTGTGAGAAACCCGCAGCATAGGGGAATGTTCGGGTGCATGTTTGATACAACAAAGTGGTATTCGCTCATACATATTCAATAGGACCAACGTTCAAAACACACGCCTGGACCAGACATCCATCCATTCAATCGACCTTGTCTTACTTAAAAGCAACCCTAACCTCCTTTGCAGGTTGCAGTACAATATCAGCATGCATTCCTGGTTCCGTACCGCCCATCCTGTTCTCCACTGACTCGAATCGCTGGAACAGTCTCACAAGCGTATAGCCCATCTCCGTAAGCGCAAACTGCTGACCGATACAGATTCTAGGTCCCCCGTTAAATGGGACATAAGTCCAGCTCTTCGGGGTCCATGAATCCCATCGATCGGGCGCGAAAGCATCGGGAGGAGGGAAAGATCTGGAAGTAGGTGGATACAAATCTGCGCGGCGTTGCATAACGAGGGTCGAGTAACCGATCGGTGTACCGGCGAGGACACCAATGGGTTGCGTGCCGTCTGGACCGCCGCCGGTGGGGAGCGTCGTGTCTTTGAGGGCCATGCGTACGTTGTATGGGACGACGGGGTACAGACGAAGGGTTTCGTTCAGAATGTGTTGGAGATATTTCATGTTTTTCAAGTCCTCGTAGGTTGGTTGGCGGTCGGGGCCGACTGTTTGGAGGATTTCTTGACGCAGTTTGGCGGTTATGGTCGGGTCTATGGATAGGTGGTAGATTACCCATGTCAGTGTGCAGGCTGTTGTGTCGCGGCCTGCTAGGAGAACAGAGACAAGTTGGTCGCGTAGCATGTCTCGGTCGCGCGTGTAGCCTGCGATGGCGTGGAGAAATGTGTAGCCTTCATCATGGTTTGTCTTCTTTTCAAGCTCTTCTGGAGACAGTGCGAGGGCTGTGTCGATGAAAGTGGATACGAAATCGTTGATAATCTTGATGGAGTCGTAGAATCCCATGCGCTTTCGCGGGATAAGCCAGTTTAGAGGTCTGCTTGGTGTTAGTGATAGGTTTCAGGCACGTGAGCAAGTTTGCGTACCCGACTTTAGCTACGAAGCTCTGTACACGCTGAGCGTTATAGAATGCATCTGCGAAGACTGTTTTCGGTTCATCCAAACTTCCTACACTCTGACCAAGTAGAAAGTGCGTGGCTGCATCCAATGTATACCTGAACATCATGTCCAGAGTGTCAATCTCCCCGCTCTCAGCGATTTTAGAGATGAGGATCTGGGTATGTTGCTCGAAGATGTCAATATCGCTTAGGCGATCCTTGACAAATTGCGGACGAATGAGCTGGCGTGAGTTGTGCCATAGTTGCCCATCGGTGGTGAAGATACCTGTTCAAAGGTTGTCAGCCATCCATCCATTGAGTCCAAGACTGTTCAGTTGTCCCGCACAGTGGGGGGCCTAAACTTCCGCCCTCTTATCCACGTACCGTTACCCAAGAAGGTATGCCAGTCTTTCCTAAACTGCTCTCCCTTGCCATAGTCCTTGAATTGCGTCGCAAGAATTGCTTTGATGTTCTCTGGGTCTGCGGTCAGAAGCACGCGCTCGCCGATGCCAGCCTCAATTGTGTATCGCCCTGGTCCACACCATTTCTGGAACATGCCAACCCACATTGCGTATGTCTCATCTTTCAGGGCAAAGGTAATGACTTCATACGCCATGTCCAGGCCATAGGGGAAATATGTCTTTCGAACTGGCGCTCGAGCGCCGAGCTTGCGGATTCGCGCATTGATGGAGAATCTTTGTACGATCCTGTAGCCCAGGAGCAGGACGACGGCGGCGCCGAGTAGGTAGGAGGTCGAGAAATTCGTGCTCTTGAATTCGGCCATGACAGGCAGAGACGATTGCTAGAGCCTATAGCGCTTCACAGGTTGTCAGCACACACGCATATATGGTAGCATTCACATGAAGATGGTGTGCCAGGCCGAGTGGACTACCGGCGGGTAAACGACATACTTTAGACTCTCGGGACGACAAGGAAGCCGAGCTTTGACAGCTGCCTTGAGCATGTTAGGAACCAACAGCCAATTGGTGCCATGGGGTTATCCTTCTTTTGTGGCACATGAGCTTGCCATGGCCTCTTGCATCCATGCCTGGTGCAATCAGAACGTCGTGTGCTCCATTGACACCTCGGTATGACATCTGGGAGCACGCGTCCCGCAAGACTCGCTATTTTCGACGTAGACACTGTATGCTAGAGGCTCGCGTAGCCATGGTGCGCTCATGCACATCCATCCCCGATTCCCTGTAAAAGCGGGGAAGGACGATCGAGATAGTTGGACAAAGTGGGGATGGTGGTGACATGGTGCCGCTCGGACGAAGTCTGGAAGACTTGGGAATCCGAGATCCGTGCTCATGAAGCGATATGTTTATATAGGGCGCATAACTCAGGAGCTCCCGTGCTTGTGGTCTGGAGAGGCTTTAGCTGTTTGCTTGCTCGAGGACGTGCGCTGCAGATACCTTCCATCAGCACATGGCGGATCGCCCGGACTGCCGAGGCGGCGGCAGCATCAAGCCGTCACTAGAAACCCGCGCCGCGCGGAGACCCCAGAGGATTGGCAGAAATGCAAAGGACGCGACTCAGGGTTGCACATCGCAATGTACTGAAACTTACTTCGAAGCTGATTGAACTTATCTTTCGCTGAAGACGAGGCTGGACTTGAGCGCCCGCACGTCATCGTGCTTCTGCGTAGGATCTCATGCCCCACTAGCTCGCATCCATAAACTCTCGGCTAAGGATACCACCTAAGCTTCGCAGTTCGACAGTCTTAAGCTATACAGTGTATACCAGGCATTAGTATATTACCCTCTGTGATTACCGGGGACATCGCGGTAGCTGTGGCTGTGTGAGGCCATTCGGAGCTTACGGATCGGGCCTACCCAGGTACATTTCCTTGCGCCAGTCTTCGTTCTTGTACATAAATTGCACGTCGTCATCAGTTACTCCTATCTTTCGAGGTGCTCTCTATCCCTCTCAATCTCTATCTGATCTGTTTGCAATATGAAACCCCTTATATTTACCATACAATCTCTTCTCGTCTCTTCAGTAGCGGCTATCTGGCCGATACCCGTCTCTCACGAGCAGGGCGATACTGTTCTTTTCATCTCCGAAGATGTACCATTCTACTGGTACGAACCTGGCGCAAGAAATGTAGGCTCGAACATACATCAGATTCCCTTTCTCTTCGCATCAAATTCTAACAGCAGTCTCAATGTACAGGACAGCAGCCAGCTCAATTTGCGCAAGAGTTACACGGAACCAGTACTCAGCGAAGCATCCAAGAACTCTACCCAGGAAGGCGTTACAGGCGACGATATAATTGAGTACGCTATCGGTTCTACGTGGCAAACAGTTTTCAAGAACAACTTTTATCCATGGAAATTCCACCCTCGGGACTGGGATGAGCCATCCCCAAGCGCGTCAAACACAACATACGTCTCTCGCATCGATGTCAAATTGCTCAAAGCTGATCAACCGGATGTCGCCAAGTCTCTCGCTGGAGACGTCGACGAATCGTACAGCTTGACTTTAACAGAGCAGGGTGTTGCAAGCATCAGCGCGAACACTAGCATCGGAATAGCACGAGGCTTGACGACATTCACACAGCTCTTCTATGCACACTCGAACAAGCAGGATGTATACACACTTTCGGCGCCTGTGCAGATATTCGACAGCCCGAAGTTCCAGCACCGTGGCATTAATCTCGACACCTCACGAAACTACTTCTCTACGGCCGACGTCAAGCGACAAATCGAGGCGGCTGCTTACAACAAGATGAATCGGTTCCATCTCCACGTAACGGATAGTCAGTCCTGGCCTTTGGAGATACCTTCCATGCCCGAACTCTCCGCGAAAGGAGCGTACCGTCCGGACTTGGTCTACACAGTAAACGACTTCAAGGACTTCCAACGCTACGCAGCGATTCAAGGCGTGCAGATGATCACCGAAATTGACATGCCAGGCCACACCTCAAGCATACACCGCAGCTTCCCAGACCTGATAGCAGCATTTGAGCAACAACCGGATTGGAACACCTACGCCGCCCAGCCGCCAACCGGCACACTGAAGCTCAATTCCACTGCCGTCTACGATTTCTTCGAAAAATTATTCAATGACTTACTACCAAGGGTGTTCCCGTACTCAACGTACTACCACACCGGCGGCGACGAAGTAAATCGAAATGCGTACTTACTCGATGATACTGTCAGGAGCAACGACTCGGCCGTCCTGCAACCTCTTATGCAGATATTCGTCGATCGAGCTCATGACCAGGTACGCGCCGCAGGGCTCACACCTGTTGTATGGGAAGAAATGCTGTTAGAGTGGAACTTGACACTCGGCTCCGACGTGATTGTGCAGTCGTGGCAGAGTGACGAAGCAGTTGCACAAATCACTGCAGCAGGACACAAAGCCTTGGTTGGAAATTACAATTATTGGGTAAGTGAAGCTTCTTTTGCAACTACTCCAGATAACGACATTTTCTTGTCCACTCTCTTCTCTTCCAAGAAATGATAGATAGCGCATACTGATAGATGATAAAAGTACCTCGACTGCGGCAAAGGCCAGTGGCTCAATTTTGATCCTTCGGTCAGCGCCAATTACTGGCCTTACCAGGACTACTGCGCTCCTTTCCATAACTGGCGTCTCATCTACTCGTACGATCCTTTGTCTGGCGTTCCAGCTGAGAACCAGCATCTCGTATTAGGCGGTGAAGCGCATATGTGGGCTGAACAAACCGACCCTGTCAATGTTGATCGCATGATTTGGCCTCGTGCGGCTGCGGCTGCGGAGGTGCTCTGGTCGGGCGCCAAGGACGGGCAGGGGCAGAATAGGAGTCAGATTGATGCAGCGCCTAGGCTGAGTGAGATGAGGGAGAGGCTGGTGGCGAAGGGAATCGGTGCTGAGCCGATCCAGATGCCATATTGTACTATGGAGGGGAACGTTTGTCAACTAGGGTTTACTGGGTGAGGCGGAGTGTGGAAAATTGAGGAGAGTATAGTACTCAGGAACTTGTCTGTCCCCCTGATGTCACTACTGAAGCAGATGCAACAAACAAATGTATATTTACGGTATCTGCTCCAGCAGCGACATCATTGGGATAAACAAGCCCCCTCGCAGTGGGTAACGAATTGAATCATCGGAATGCATCATAGATATTCCCCTCTGCATTTCCTCAACGCCAAGCGTCCTCAGAATCCTTACAACCATGATACTGGGTACGTTATCAGAATTCCATGGCATCAGCACCCTCCTCCCTCTCCCTCTTGAGCGCTGGTTTTTCCTCATCCACCAAGCCAGCAACGAACCGCCGGAAGTAATCTACATATGGCTTCAGGCTTGTCTTCTCCCAATCCTGCATCTTCTTATCCGTTTCTTCGCCTGACCAATCATCGATTTCCTGAAGCAATTGGGTGACTGTAGGTACACTCAACGGATCGAATTCTTCCACCTTCGTCGTGTCGATCGGGACACAGACACGACCTGTTCCAGGATGGATTACGAATGGGGATTTGAGCAAATGGTTTAGCTTCTTGGAGACTTCGGCATCGAGACGGGGGTATGTGTATTCTAAGATGATGTCTTGTTTGGCTTCGCGAAGGTCCTTGGGTGACTTTGACAAGGCACCGGATTTTGCCAACGCGTCGATGTCGGCCCATTTCGATGCGCTGGGGCGGGAGGGCGCAGAGTCCCACTTCTTCTGCAATGCAGCCTTCAGGGTAGGGTCTGGGATGAGGTTGAGAAGGTGTGCGGCCTTTTCTTCTGTTGCCCACGGATCTTGTTCAGCAAGAATGGTGGTTTGGAAGTGTTCTTTCAGGATGTCCAGACTACGCTCAAGATGGGGGTGTAGTGGTCGCCATGCATGTACTCTTTTGCCGCCTTGATCTCCTCCCTTGAGCAACTCGAGATAGCTGGCCACTGAGCGGCGCTTCTGGTCGTCCATTTCTCGTGCGCGCCTGTCGCAGACCCAGGCGTGGGCTCCTCGACGACCGGAATACACCCAGAGAATGTGTTTGAACCCAAAGTCTTCCCGTAGAGCAACGTCGATGGTCTTGATGGCCATTGTGATGAAGCCCCAGCACTTCAGACAGATGTTCGCACCCGTGCAACATGTCCTGATATCATCGTAATCCGTCATATCGATATCGAACACCAACTCTTTCATTAACGGGCGGAATGAGCTCGCTTTCCGCAGTGTCTTCCTGTCTCGCGGGTTCGTGCTATACATGGGACCGATTTCGAAACGCGAGGGCAGCATGTTTATGCATTGCTTCCGTAGTAGATCGGCTGTTGGGAACGATTGGTATCGTAGGTATGCGTCGTTGGGTAGGGTGAAGGCGAATTCGCGGTGTGCAAAGTCATTGGTAGGTGTTGCGGAATGGTTCAGCCATTGGAAGAGAGGGCGGAAAGGGAACAGGCGTTGGTAGAAGGCACGCATGACGTCTGGATCGGAGAAAGATGATTTGGATGTGATCTTGCTATATCGATATCAGCGGTTGCCATGAATGTAACACCTCGACAGGTGGGGCGTACATTGGTGCGGGTTGTGAGGCATCCTCTTGCGACGTAGGTGCCGGCGCACTCGAAGCAAATTCTTCGTCTGAATCTTCATCGTCGAAGAGCTCTTCGAGGCTTGCTTTGGACTTGTCTGCCGCGGCAGGCGTGGGTGCGTCGTCCATTGCGACATCTTGCGTCTCCGGTTCTATTTTAATAGCGTCGCCTTGGGACGGCGTCGCTGAGGACTCCTCTGCAGGCGTAGACTCTGGCGTAATTGAATGTGGCATCTCGGAAGTCATGCGATTAGATTTCGGGGTATATGTGGTGAGGACGCGTACGCTGGCGATGAAAGAGTTGGTCGACGCGTTCGCGTATAGTGGTCGCGGGCGCGTTTGGGGTGTAGGGGTACCCTTGTCTAGTGTCCCCCATTGCTTCCTCATTTGGGTCACCCTCCCTCGTCATATCGCGTCAACTTCCAAGCAAACATTCTCCACCTTGCTCAAACCTCAGGGCATGAACCCCGACAACAAGAACTATTCCGCGACTGATGGCGGAGGAGGAGGACACTGTGTCCGGGGAAGGGTGGATATCGGATGACAGCAGCTTCTATGGTGAGTACTTGATATATTCCGTACTGGGACATGTCACAGCCGCACCTGACTAATGATTGGACCAAGGTGATGAAGCTGAGCAACAACATCAACTAAGGCTATGCGAAAACTTCAAGCACGAACCTTTCTGGCATGCACATCAGAAGGATCTTAATGTGATCACGATGGCAGCCAGAGCACCAATACCACTATCTGATAAGGCGACTTCAGGTACAGAGACTGCAGTGAAAGACACCAGCTTCAACATGTCGGGTGTCGACCGCAAAGCTATGGAGCAGGAGCGACTTGCGCGATCAGGCAAACGGAAGCGAGAGCTCTCACCCATACCGTCACACGAACTGTTCAATCCTCTAGAAGGTCAGGAGGATGCATGGCAACTGGGCGAGCCTGTCGATGACTTCGTCAGACGCCTTCCTCCATATAATACAGCCATCACTACATTCCCTTGGATCTGGGCCGCTAATCCACATCGCAATCCTCGCGACAAGTCACCTTCGCCTCGTGTTGAAGACTTCACATCGCGTGGCATGGACTTACTTGAGCAGTCGCTTCAGACTCGCCGCGATATCCAGAAGGAAGGGGCCAGAGGACCGAGGGGTATGACTAAACAGCTCAGTCAAGAGAGTAAGGCTCTACAGGGACGGATTTCAAGCCTCGCAAACGAGACAAACGTTCTTTCCGGAAAGGTATAATCAGCTGGACAATCCGTGCAACCGCCCACCCGTATGACTGACCCAGACTAGTGGATGTTATTCCCGAAATCAGTAGACGTTACACGGGTTTGGAAGCAAGTCGTTGCAAACGTGATTGACAATCGACTTGGTTGTACTTGTAAGGTCGCTACCGACGATGGCAAAGAGGAGCGACTGAGTGAGTTCCATTTGTAATCTGCAGTGCACAGGTACTGACTCAGAAATACCAGTCTGTGTATACACAAAGGACTTCCAGGACGCTGACGACGTATTGCGAGTACTCCATGAACTTGAGAACATGGGTCTCCTGAACGGCGGCAGAACCATCTATTACAAACCAGATGCATACACTTATCTGAATCTTGTCCGCGATACAGCCGTAGAATATGGCTTACAAGCGAGTCTTTACAACTCTCGGTCTTTGTTGGCGGCTGACAAGGTGCCGAAGTCAGCATCGCTGGCCCAGAAGAAGCAGTCGACCCTGAGCGGTTTTCTTTAAGTGGGCATTGACGGCTATAGTGCTACTTGGGGACGAGATCAACAGCCATAACCAACCAAGGGATTTTTCAGGAAGATACAAGTTTTACGTACTCACTCTAAGGTGTGTTAATTGCAGCACAATATCCAGTAATAAATCTCATCACGCTGTTCTCCCCCGTAGCATCGTCACCGCGATTGGTGGCGGCTACGTCCTCTGATCGGTCTCAAAAAGGCTGTTCACAGACAAACAAGTACGCGTCAGGCATGCGGTTATACCTGTCGACGCTGATCTCCGAGCCGCTCCCGGAAGCAACAGCGCATTTGATATGCCAACGAGACTGCAACTAAGACCGTTGCGTACCATGCTGAGCAATATACCCTTCAACCACTCGAAGCAAACGTAAGCAAAATTCATCTCCGGTGTTGCAGCGCAGCTGCATGGTCTTTACCGCTACACTGAATAGCCCGTAGGCGCATGCAGCCAATGTAGAGGCATTTCGGCGCATCGTGTCTGCAAAGTCTACTGGCCGCCAGAGCCAGTTGAGAGTAGTTGTCGTTCTGCGACGTACGTGGTGTTGGCGCGCTACTGAAAATTCCAGAAACCGTGAGGCGTCGAGTTTCCGTTACTCGATAGTTACCTTGAGGACAGGGCTTCGACCGCCGTAGTTCGCCGCTTGCGGTGGACGACTTCTACCGACGATCACAACATGTCAGAATATCGGAACACTCCGAAACCACATTTTGGCCATCTCTTCACTTTTCTACATATTCGCGTCTTTCGAGATTCCGATACGGTGTCTGAGTATGTTCATCCTTCTATAAAAGAGGTAGGCGGGACAACGGATGCAAAAAAGACCCGGGCGCATTCGGGTTCTCGGCTGATTATATGGCCATCGGCCAGCCCCGAGAATTGTAAGGGCGTCCATATTGGACTAGCCTGGCTGGTGTCAGTTCCGGCATATTGTGTTTCCCTTACTCGATTTCAATCGAGTAATGGGAAGATCGTGTTGGGAGGTACGCTGGCTGACATACGTTTAGCTTCTCCGGACAGAACCGGGCCTTACTCCGATATCCTCAGAACTCGCACCTCTTGTCCACCAACGAGCATCACGACATCAACAGTCCTTCTTACCTAACCTTCAGAATGGAATCTCCAGGGAAGCAGTGAATAATATATGGTAGACGTTCGAGATCCCAGAGGTATGACGCTCAGCCGTTGGCCCTGCGCTAGTTCGGGGGCTCTAATCGCGCGATCTACTGTGCGCCTATCGCATGCAGCTAAATCCTTGCAGCTGCTTATCAGTAACATATGCACGGTCCCCCAACACCATCTAAGACGTGCAGCAACACGGTGAGGAAGTTTGCCGATTTCAACATTTGACCAGGTTCTCAAGATAATTTTTCATAAGCATATATGGCTGAGCAAAGCAGTTTTTATTACGTGCGGTTTGCACAGCAGAGATAGTGTGTTACCGATCATGAGAGTAGAACGCAGCACCATGGCCAACAGACTCGTATCTACACTAGATCGACCAACGGGAGACAGGGTCGAGATGCATGGCTAAGGCGGCCACGATAGCCTACCTCCACACTAGTTACTCGATAGAATCGAGCAACGTGTATTTCAGGGTTCGCCGATGCTCCACAGTCCCCTGACGCCATGTTAGCCAGTCCCAGATTCTGGCTACAATGCTCCGAGAGTATCTTTGGCCTGGCCCCTACCAACGGGTAGATAAGAGGCTGTACCCCAGGTTTTGGCGTTTTTGGTAATCAGTCACCCAAAGAATTTCTTCCGTTACACGTCTTCAGTGTTTGAAATTACCACTTCCCTTATTCTCTACGAGAGCCGAACCACATTCCTCTTTGACAGCTGTTAGGCGCAACACCAAACGTGCCTTATCAACGCTTATCTGCAGCTCACCCGGAAACGCCCACGCCCTCTTCCCCGCGTTTGCCGAGTTCGGGGCTTGTTACTGTATATAGCTCTTGCTGTTAGCACGGACTTGAGCACTTGAGCACTGCTTTACCTGGTCTTTTACGTCCTTCTCGTCTTCTCGCAGTCAAAAACATATACAACTTGTCATCATGGCTCCACACGCAACCACACCTCCACCTGTTTCCCATGAGCAACCCGTTCAAGCTATCACAGTTCTTGCTTCCTCGAGAGCAGTCGTTGCTGGTCGGTTGACTGAGGCTACCATCGTTGTATCAAACCATACAGGGAAGATCACATCCATCTTCCATTCAGTACTTCCCGCTACAGACTTCCCCGAAGGCACATCGTATACAGACTACTCGCCAAATATCCTACTACCCGGTCTTGTTGATGCTCATGTCCACCTCAACGAGCCTGGTCGAACGGAGTGGGAAGGCTTCTGGACTGGTACCCGTGCTGCAGCATTCGGTGGTGTCACAACTGTCATTGACATGCCTCTGAACGCTATCCCTCCTACGACGACCGTTGAGAACCTCAAGATCAAATGCGAGGCATCACAAGGGAAATGCTGGGTCGATGTTGGCTTCTATGGTGGTGTCATCCCTGGTAACTCAGGTGATCTGAAAGCTCTAGTCAAAGAGGGTGTTCGTGGCTTCAAGGGCTTCTTGTGCGACAGTGGCGTAAGTACATATACCTCAACATTCCAAAAGCACGTGACACTAACACATGTCTAGGTCGAAGAGTTCCCTGCTGTTTCATCAGTAGACATCGAAAAGGCCCTCCTCGAACTCAAAGACTCAGCAACAACACTAATGTTCCACGCCGAAATGATCCCACCCATCTCCGACTCTGTAGGCGACGACATCCAACGTTCCAACCCCCCTCTCGCCCCTAAAGGCCCTCTAACCTCCTACGACACATTCCTCCAATCGCGTCCCCCATCCTTCGAGACCTGCGCCGTAGCCGAAATTCTCTCATTAGCACATCTCGCCCCCGAGCTCCAACTCCACATCGTCCATCTCTCCGCCATAGAAGCTATCCCCATGCTACGCAAAGCACGTGCCGACGGCATAAAAATCACAGCAGAGACTTGTTTCCACTACCTTGCCCTTGCGGCAGAAGGCATTCAAGAAGGCGACACACGACACAAGTGCTGCCCGCCCATCCGTTCCCAATCGAACCAAGACGGTCTATGGGAGGAACTTCTCCAAGACACAGCTGATGGCGTCATTCAAACAGTCGTCTCAGACCACTCTCCTTGCACCCCAGAGATCAAACTCCTCCCCTCGCATCTCGCGCCAAAGAAGCCGTCTCCTCGCAAAGAGGGTCACGCGAAAGACTGTGATTCGTGCGAGAGCAGCGAGGGCGAGATGGAAGGACCGGAAGAGAAGGGTGACTTCTTCGGCGCCTGGGGCGGCATCTCGAGTGTGGGGCTCGGCCTACCTATTTTATGGACCGAAGGCACAAAGCGCAACCCTGACTTCAGTGTTGAGGAGATTGTTCGCTGGTGCTGCAAAAACACGGCGAAGCAAGTTGGCCTTGAGAAGAGCAAGGGTGATATTGGTGTCGGCTTTGATGCTGATATCGTTGTTTTTGACGATGAAGCCGAGTTCTTGGTCGAGCCAAACACCATGCTGTTCCGTAACAAAGTCTCACCATACGAGAACAAGACGCTTAAGGGTGTTGTAAGGGAGACTTGGCTACGTGGTCAGCGTGTCTTCACGAGGGCAGAAGGATTCCAAGAGAAATCTGGTCCGCAGGGCAAGTTGCTGCTTGAACCCAGGAAAATGGGCGTTTAGGCTAAGAAGGATGGCTGAAGGGTGATCCGTTCGATTTCTCGTTGTCGTTATGGGAAGCATGGTGCATACATATACATGGGACACTGCATAGAGCACGTAGTGCTTGATATCTCTTTTCTCTTTACTGCATAGACGGCGTTTTACTATTGGGGGTATGCTACGACAAATCCTTCATGATTCCACATATTTTCAATTCGAAACAAGCTGAATGAAGACGACTGCAATTCTTTCCTGTGAACTCCATGTCACACAACACCAGCTAAGCTAGCAACAAGCGGTGTACCCTGAAATGTCCCACGTCCCGACAAGCACGAATATACTGTGAATGACAGCCCACTTCCCATGCATAGAATAACACAAATCCTCCATATCTTGCATATGTATGTCTTGAAATGAGACCAAGCCACCCGAAAAGATGATTTACAAATACTTCTTGGGAGCACCACCACGCCTCTTCTTGTACACAATATAAGCACCCACAATCATGATTTGAACAGCGACCGCAATGAAAAGGAATGTAGTCATGCTGGGTCCACTCTTTGTGACAACTGTGATATTGCGTTAGCTTAATCCCTCTTTCGAATCGTACGAGCCCAGAGTTCTTTACTTACCGTCACCCATCATGCCGGGTAAGCTCTGCATGACATTGCCGTGGTTCCTGTCCAGCGCGAGATGGATCTGGCTCATGAAATCCTTGAAGTCCTTGTTCTCCAAGTCTCGCAATATCTGCATGGTTGTTCGCTCGACCTTTTCTACGTTGCGAATCGTGGCAGCGCCGCGGTCGTCGATGGGTACGATGCGGTGCATGAGCTCGTTCCAGCGCTCGTCGTTCTGCTTTTGGATTCTCTCGACCGTCTCAGCGATTTCGAAGACGCGGTTGTTGATGATCTGGATACGGTTGTGGAGGTCGGCAAATTGGTCTTGCTGCGAGCGGATGTTGCCTGCCAGGACGTCTTCGAGCATCTTTGGGATGTCGTTCTGCGAAGTGGAGGAGCCGTAGTTTTGTTGTGCTTGGTTCTGCTTGTGTGTCTGCTGCTCGTGACCTTGCTGGACGGCACGATCCTGCTGCTGCTGGTGGTTCTGCTGGGAGTTGATATAGTCCTTCTTCCTCAAGTTGGGCTCTTCGCGCGCGTATGAGTTGGTAGTAGACACGATAAACTTGTGAACTTCGAAAGAGTCGGGGTTCTCGGCGGAGGAGGCGCTTACACCGAAGTAGTAGCCTTCAGGGAGCGCAACCTAGAAAGACAGTCAGTGACGCATATCTTGGAGAACGGAGGATAGAAGCATACCTTATCGGTCTTGAAGCATGTCTGCCCGTCTACAATGACCTCGAGGAAGCCCTCTGCGTGATGCAGTTTGATGGGTGTAAGTTCTCCACGGTTCCTGTATGCGTAGTCACATTTACCAAAGGCCAGCGTGTCTGGATCAGGGTGAGACCTAATGTCCTTGGTTCCATCATTCAAGAAACCGCGGACAGAGCCTCCGTGCCCTTCGTACTGGTCTACGAGCAGTACTAGACCATCGAACTTGGGCGCAGTGAACACGCTCGCTGGCGTCTCATGCGCTTGTGAGTCCCTCACATACCACATCTGGAGATTACCACCTCCACGTTCCATACCAGTCGCTCTAAAGTCCAACTCAGCTGTCCAATCGCCCTTGTGGTGTAGCGGGTCCTGAGCCCATATTGAACCGCGCTTGCCTCCTGGGTAAGGAGGTGTAAGGATAACTCTGTCGGAGAGTACCTGCGGCACATAGTCGTCTGCGCCCTGAATGACAAAGTGAGGGACGGAGCGAAGATCGGGCGATATGTAAACACCCGCTTTCTGGCCAAAGCTTAGGTTGTCTATGACATACTGGGCGTATGCTGGGGAGAGAGCGAGGGTGGACCAGGCAATGGTTCGCAGCGATTGCGATGTGATGTGCATGTTGGTGGGGCGCGACGCGCTGCTCGTGTCGACAATGAGGTTCGAGTCTGGTAGCGATTGATGGTTCGACTATGTGCAGAAGTAGTCTTGTGTCTACCTGAAGTCCTGTTAGGGGTTGCCAAGTTAGGTCCATGATATCGATCGAACGCACCTCCTGCTTGACCACTAGTTCACCTGCGTCGCAATGCTCCACGCGACAAGCGTAATACAATTAGTCGAGATAGAAAGAAACAACCGGGTATCACGAAACGATGACAATGCACAAGAAGAGAAGAACTACCACCAGATGGGCAGGTACGCAACTTAATTAGAGATGGAGGAGCTTATGGACAGCTGTGCTTAAGACGGGACTACCTATGACATTGATTGGGTGGTCTATGCGCGGGCATACTGTGACAACTGTAAGAGCCACCGTCTAACATGAGACGTCAAGCCCACGAAGATAGTCGACCTGTGGATACAGAGACGGTGAAATGTTTCAAGCGACGCACAAAGAACTGAGAATAGAGCCGTAAAAGGGTCTACTGTGCGAGAAACAGCAATGCGGAGGTTTGGCTTGGCGGTTGCTTTGCGTCGGGGATTGTGATTCGCCGGCTACCATTTTCTCCATCGTCGTCTACCTCATCACCGAGCTCTCATCCGCCATCGTCGCCGCCTAGACGTCTCACGCACCCCACGCCAGCCCCTCACCTTCACCGCCAACATGTCTGCACCGGATCCAAAGGAAGCCTGGTCGCGCATTCAGAATGAACTCACACGACGAAGCGCTCGATTCGGCGGCGCGGGCGGCGGCGGACCACCGAAGGGTGTCTTTGGAGGAATCGGAGGGCTGATACTCATCGGTGGTGGAATATGGATGGCCAACAACGCCCTGTTCAACGGTAAGCCTTGCTTTGTCGAGGCCTCTTACCAGGCTCTTCCGACTTTCCATAAGCCCGAATGGTACTAACTCACCACAGTCGATGGTGGCCACCGAGCAATCAAGTATACCCGAGTAGGCGGCGTTCAGAAGGAAATCTACAGCGAAGGAACCCACTTCCGAATTCCATGGTTCGAGACCCCCATCACCTACGACGTGCGCGCCAAACCACGAAACGTCGCTTCCCTTACTGGCACCAAGGACTTGCAGATGGTCAACATAACCTGTCGTGTACTCTCAAGACCGCGGGTAGAGTCTCTACCGCAGATCTACAGGACACTGGGTACCGACTACGATGAGCGCGTTCTGCCATCCATCGTCAACGAGGTCCTCAAGAGCGTGGTGGCGCAATTCAATGCTAGTCAACTCATCACACAGCGTGAGAACGTCAGTAGGTTGGTACGAGACAACCTGGTCCGGAGAGCAGCGAGGTTCAACATCATGTTGGACGACGTTTCCCTGACAGTAAGCCCTCACCTATACACCCTTCTTACCCCGCATCTTCTGACCATGCTTAGCACCTCGCCTTCTCTCCCGAGTTCACCGCCGCCGTAGAAGCCAAGCAAGTCGCACAGCAAGAGGCCCAGCGTGCCGCTTTCGTCGTTGACAAGGCCCGTCAAGAGAAGCAAGCTACCGTGGTTCGCGCTCAGGGTGAGGCCCGCTCCGCCGAGCTGATTGGTGACGCCATCAAGAAGAGCAGGAGTTATGTCGACCTTAGGGAGTTTGAGAACGCAAGGAACATCGCACAGATCCTGCAACAGAGCAGCAATAAGGTCTACCTTGACAGCAAGGGTCTTGGTCTGGACATCAGCCAAACCTCGGCGGACAAGGAGCAGAGGGCGAACAGGAAGTAAGAGGATGTGGCGGGGAGTGTCTCCAAAGAATACTTTTCCAAAACCAACATCGTGTATAAATATATTTGGGAAAAGCGAGGTGCAAGCGTGCAAGTGTGTAGCTTTCCACTCATGACGAATAACAACAAAGTACTCCAAACTCAAACCATGATACATTTTGAACAACTCGTCAGGCCTTCTGAGCGCAAAGTACCAAGGATGGATACGGTTAGTCATGTGTGCGATCTTAGTACAATAGCAAGAGATGACAAGACGTGTTCAAGGTGATGATATTAATGCGCAAATACTATGTAGGGGTATCTCTATTCTTCGTCTTCCTGTACGGTCTTCCTCTTTTTTTCCACGGGTTCTTCTTCTTCCCCTTCGTCAGCAGATTTTGTCGCGTCCACACTATCCCCACCTTCAACCTCATCGATCGCCCTTTTCCTTTTCTCAGTCCGCGTAACCTCCTCGCCGGCCGACTTCTCAGTAACAAACAGCGTACTGGCCGTCTCCTTCACACTGCTAATCTGCTCGCTCACTTCCGCCTCCACCTCATCTTCTTCCTCATCGATCAGCCCCAGATCAACTGTATTCTTATCTGGATCCTCGAGCGCAAGCTGAATCTTTTCCAGTCCCATATCGTCACCCTCGAGCGTCTCACTGATCTCCGGATCTATCCACCCCTCCGTATAACTGCCTCCAAAATCAATGATCCAAAGCTCGTCGTGAGCATCCACCATGAAGTTATCCGCTTTCGCATCACCCCATATAATGTCGTTGTCGTGAAGTAGGGATATGTACTCTGCGCTCTTCTTGCTCCAAACGCGCCGCTTCTCCTCATCTACTGAAGACTTGAGCAGCTTTGTCAATGGCGTCGGTGTCTCGATGTTCTCTAGCAAGAGGCCCATGACCTCTGTCTTGCTGTTGCCCAGAGCGACGAAGCCGCGCAGGCGGGGAAACTTGATGTCGAGATTCAATTTCTCCATTTTCCGCAGGATCTGTATTTCGCGCTTCACAGAGTCGGGTTGGTCGGATACCACGGGCTTGAAAAAATATGTTTCGCTACTCTCGTTGTGCAGAACTTGACCTGGATGGGCGGGTGGAGGCATGCTAACTTCGGATTGGACGGTTAGGTCGTTTGCATTGTGCCAGGGAAGTTTGTAGTCTTGCATATATTTTGGGACCTTCATGCGGGGTACGAGGTCTTCGATTTTGGCTTCTAGATCGGTTGTTGTTTCTAGGAGTGTTGGGGAGAGCTCTCCCTTTGCGATCTTCAAGGTGTAGAAGTAGGTTGGGCCGTGGTACCATTCGTAGAGTGTTGATTCTTCTGGCTCGCGGTTCGGTGGCGCGGAGGTTTGCGTGATGTCGGAGAAGGAGGCGAGGATCCAGTTTCGCAGTTCGACGCCTGCACTGGCGGAGTCTTGGTCGGCGTCTTCTCCTGCTTCTTCGATGTTTTCTGGTGTGTATTCACCATCATCTGGTACATACTCGTCGTCGGCCGAGACGTCCACCCCGCTGTCCTTTCCCTCGGAGCCTTCTCGGTCTTTACTCTTGTTATTCTTCTTGTGATGGACTTTCGCTTCTCGCTCTTCAGCTAGCTCCTCCTCGCGCTCCTCGGCTTCGCGGAGTGCAGAGACCAATTCGAGATACTTGTAGTAGAGAGGCTTCTCACTGGATTTCTGGAGCGTTTTGGGATCAACAGTGACGTGGAAGCGGACATCGTTGATGAGAGCAGTTAAAGCGCAGCTATCGTCCTCGTCGTAGGAAAAGTGTAGAGTGTAGGCTTTGTTGGCAGTAGTGGTTTGAGCCATTGCTTCAAGTAAATGAGATTGTAAGTAACAGACGTATCGCAAGAATGGGTAGAGATGGTCTATAATGCGAACGTCGGGAGACTACATCTATACCTTCCATGCAACAGCCCACGCCTACAATTCTACCCATGCGCCGACATCATCGCTATTGCAGATCGCCGACCAAATCGCAAAGTAAATGCCATGCCACACTCTAGGGGACTTCATCTGGCCCATGCATCTACATCATAGATGTCGTCCTGATCTGCAGGTACGATCGAGATAGTGGAGCAATAGCATCGTCAGCAAGAGTGCTAAGTGGCTGGAAGGCACGGAAAGGTCGATAGATCTGATTTGAATTGAGTTAAGGGTATCGATCTGAAACTGTATGAAATTGACAAGGTTGGGGTGAAAGGGATCGGGACTGGCGCGTCGCGAACGCATCCACGCGCGATGTCGTGACGTCAAAGAAAGTGCTGGGACGACTTAGCGCTTCACGTTTCTGCGACGACCATCCCCCGTACGACGCCCGGTGGGCACAGTTTGCTTTTGGCCAGGCCGCTCGTTGACACGCCAATCACATGCAAGTACCAAGTTTGAATGATGACATTTCACCATGATGTGTTTTGAATTGAGAAGACGTCCAACATTGTCTCATTGCTACAGAGGCGCTCATCTATCGTGGTGGCGCATCGCTAGCAGACATGCTGCACTCATTCTGACGTTAAACGTCGTGAGATAACCTAACCGTATACGCCTTTTTGAAAAAACAATCCTGCCTGCGAAAGGAGCGTGATCCCACGTCTTGCGGCCCCTACAATGAACAAAAGAACAGAAGCGAAACATCGTCCTCTCGTAAGAATAATCTCAGATCCTGTCCAAGCCCGCTCAAAATGCGAAAATCGAAAGCAATGCGTTGAAACATCTTCCAGAGATCTTGCGAACGCCAAGTCATTATACGTTCGTAATCCATAACAGTTATCATACAGTCTCGCAGTCGAGTCGTGACGTCGGGTAAGAAGATTTACACAGTGAAGTCCAAGAGGTCGTACGAGGAAGAGTCCAGTGAAGTGAAGTCACCCATTGCCTTCATCTCAAGATCGAACTGAGAGTACGAGCTGTCGGGCATCGTGTCAAACAGCTCATCAAGAGCGTCCTTGGACTCGATTGGCGATGTTGGTGGTGTTGTAAACTGATTTGACTGGATCGATGACCGCGATGGAGAGGAAGACACTTTCAAAGGGCTGGACTGGACTGGCTCACTGGAACCGTTGGCAGACCCGGAAGAAGCAGGCCGTACGTCAGCGGGCGACATGGGGGGTGTGTGCGAGTGTTGAGAAAGCTGTTGGAGGATGTTCATGGACGCGGTGTCACTTGGGTAGGTAGCAGATGCAAAGCTCGATTGTGCATCTTCAGCGAAAGGGCTTGATGAGGTCTCGAAGCTGGAGTATGTGTTAGCGTTGTGTGAGACGGAACATGACTGAGAGACTGACCTGAAGGGATCCACTGAAGCATTCATGGAGTCGTAGCTTTGCGAATCGGAGAGAAGCTGAGCTGGCTCATATCCCTCAATCGGTGATGAGGATCGAGCCTCTGAGTATGGCGAGCCAGCCGAAGACGGTGGTGCGGATACTATCGCACGTCTCGTTCTGCTGGCCTTCTCGACGCGCTGCTCCATGTCTGGGCGGTTCTTCTTCGGGCGGCCACGCTTGGCTTGTCGTCGGACTGCATCAGGGAATCCACCGACACACATGCCACGCTGACGGTGACGTGTGAGGGCATCTTGTCGAGCAAAGCCTGCGCCGCAGGGGCACTTGTAAGGCTTGTTGCCTGAGTGGATCTTTGCGTGGCGCTTCAGGTCATGCTGTCGGACAAAGCACTTGCCGCATCCATTGCACTTGTACTGACGATCGCCAAGATGAGTTTGAACATGGGATCGGATGTTCTCACGACGTCCGAAGACTTTGCTGCAACCTTCGTAAAGGCAGGTCCACTTGCCGGTTGTGGCATCTTGCTCGCTGATGTAGCGCGCGACTTCTTCTGGTGCAATACCAGTGTACTCATAGCTTGCGTCAACCTCAAGATCATTGAAGATCTGGGGCTGCGAGAATGAGTCCATCATGGGTAGACCGCTGATTGACATTGAAGTTTGCGATGTAGGCAGCATAGACTGTGTCTGCGAGAACATCATCTCTTGGTGCTCTTCGATGTTCTCCAAGAAGGATTGTACGTCCCTCTGTCGTGGTGAAGATACTGGCGATGGTGACAAAGCATCGGATGTGTAGTAGGATGACGACTCGTAGCCCATATCGGCGTCCGGGTTGTCAAAGTCGAAAGTCATGGCTCTTGAGGTTGGCTCAAGGTTGATGTCACCCATAGCAGTGAAGCTTGGGTGCTGAGGAGTTGCGCTAAAAGCCTCATGACTGGGTAGCTGCGCAGGCTTTTGTGGTGTCGCAGTGGGTGTTGGGAGGATGTTAATGAAGACTTGTCCACATGAGCCATACACTGACTGTATGTGCTCGTGAAGTTCTTTCAGTTGCTGTTCAGTAGGGGGTTTAGAAGAGGAGGAAGGAGGCTGCTGGGGAGACTGCGCGCGGAGTGTCCTTCGTGGAGTCCGCGGTGTGATGGGAGAGATCTGTACTGGGGATGCCAAAAAGGATTCCTGGGGGCCCGGCTGGGGCTGTCTGTGCGAATGCGCTACTTGCATAGATTGCTGTGGTATTTGTCCTAGATTGTTAGTATTACTTACCGTACTGTCCTCCTGCTGGAAGGATGGTGTGTCGAATGGTCCTGGTTGGTGTGTGTATTCCTGGTTTGTGGCTTGTCGGGCGGCATGGATGGATTCTAGGCTGAGGCCGCGTAGATCCAAGCTCATACCGCTTCGGTTTGGTCGTCGTCGGTGTAGGTTAGCAGGTGGTGCTCGTACTGTGGGTGCGTCAAAAACAGTGGGTGTCGACAGTTGTCGGCGGTGCTGAATTCGTTGGCGCTGGATGCCGGCTGGCATGTTGTTGGACAGCATTTCGTATGCAGGTCGAGTCCGGAGTTGGTTCTCGGGAGGATGGGGAATAGTCCTATGGGTTCCGAAACTGATGTGGTGTTAGCATTCAATGTCATGTGATGGTTCGACTGCGCTGAGCTAAGATGGAAGTCTCGAGTAACTTACCTCACGCAAAGCAAGCGGCGCTCCGCCGGGCGGTTGGTATCCTTATGAAATCCTCAGTACAGATGCAGTCTCCCAGTAGCCTGCTTCAAGTAAGTATGTGGCCGAGGCCTGTGCTAGTGTATATGAGTGGTGGTGGAGATGTGTTTAGTTGCAGTCGCTAAAGCAGCAGTGGATGTTTGAGATGAACAAAGAGATGTGGATGCGAGGGATGAATAGTGCTGGTGAAGTGGAGGATAAATGCGGAGGAGGAGATGACGATGTATAATACCTTACCGGGACGGGTAAACATAGAGCTCTATCTGGCGTTGCCGCCGCAACGACATGGTTACCCGAAGCCGCCCACGCTTGATGCTGCGGCTAGGCCTAGCCGGAGCTAGCGCATCGACGCAGAGCACGGGCCGCTTAGTAACGCGAGGCCCCGCCCACACGCATTTTTGCTACTTCACGATTTCGACTCCGTTTCCTCCCCACCCTTTGCATCTACGTGAGGAAAGCATCTCAGAAGAGAGGCTCAGCGTTCAAGATGCAGATCTTCGTCAAGACCCGTAAGTAGTGCTCGCCAACATCACAGCCTATGCGCCGCCATCGTCGCATCCGTCGCCTCCCAATTTGCCATCGCCATCGCAATCATCGCACACGACATAGCAGCTAACAAATTCGCAGTCACGGGCAAGACCATCACTCTCGAGGTCGAGAGCTCCGATACCATTGACAATGTCAAGTCCAAGATCCAGGGTACGTAGCCCGACTTCGCTCCAGCAGTCTCGCCTCTAATACCCAGCAGACAAGGAGGGCATTCCCCCGGACCAGCAGCGTCTGATCTTCGCCGGAAAGCAGCTCGAGGATGGCCGCACTCTTTCGGACTACAACATCCAGAAGGAGTCCACCCTCCACTTGGTCCTCCGCCTTCGTGGTGGTATGGCCAAGAAGCGCAAGAAGAAGGTGTACACCACCCCCAAGAAGATCAAGCACAAGCGCAAGAAGACCAAGCTAGCTGTCCTCAAGTACTACAAGGTTGACGGCGATGGCAAGATCGAGCGTCTTCGCCGCGAGTGCCCCCAGCCCGAGTGCGGTGCTGGTGTCTTCATGGCCGCCATGCACAACCGCCAGTACTGCGGAAAGTGCCACCTGACCTACGTCTTCGACGAGGCCAAATAAGCGCATCGCCACCGGGGCACGCGACACGATCGATAACGAGTTACGGCATCAAGGCATATATGGGAGGAGCTGAATAGGTTTCACCACAATGTCGGACATCTAGAATCAATCAAACTTGTCATGGACTTCACACCTCGGTTACCGACCCCAAATCGTGAATGAAATGCTCAGTGCGTGTGGTGCGAGCGTCATACCAGTGATCTCCCGTGTATGCGTAGATCTTCATCTCGCGTAACTAATGTATATGCAGAGCGTCCGTGTTTCGAATACCGATACCATGGTCGCCTTGTCTTCGTGCTTCAACCTGATGAACGTTATCGCCGTAGACTTGGTTCATACATTGGACTATCATGGTCTCATTACAGCTGCAAAGCACTAGCGACTACCTAATTATGGTCATATGGAAATCAACAACCTACCGCTTAGTAAGAAGCGCAGTTTAGATCGAGAATGTAGCAAAGGATAAGAGTAGCGTGGCTGCAATCAGTGGTTACTACCAGCTAACAGACGTGCACATTACTACAACTGCGCCCAACATCCCAATCATCAGGATTGAAAATGACTCTCCCGTCATCTTCACAGCTCCTCCCAGTGCAGCGTTACCACCTTGTCCTGCAATCTCTCCCTGTCCATTCTGGTTGTTGCCGTTTCCTCCTCTCCCACTCGATCCATCATCTGGTCCATTTCCTCCAACTTGGCCACCGTCACTCCTTGCGCTTGTTTCGAGCGGAATATCCTGCATAGGCTGCCCCGGTGGATTGTTGACGCTGTTAACCTGCGTCTGAAAGTCCTCCAACGGATTCTCGATCATCGCGCAGGGCATTCGGCCTCCGTTTGCGCTGAGTGGACCGGGAGCAGGTTTCGTGGTCAACTGCGAGGCACCTGGAAAGCGCTGAATGCTGTTCGTAACACTGATAGGAAGGTTGAAGATAGTGTATCGTTCCACACCATTTAATCGGTAATTCTGGTGTATGCTGATGTTGTAATCTCCCCTCGCAGTTGAACCCTCATCCTCATTGTTATCCCCGACTAAACACTCCGGCCATTCGAAGTTGATGTGTTTGACTGTTTGGCCACTTTCCTGATCTAGTATGTCTGCGAAAGGTGGGGTGGACGTTGTCAGGTTCGATATCGTAAAGTTTTTCTGCGTAACCGTCGATGTAAGGAAGAGCGTGAAATTGAAGACTTGTGTGAGCGAATCGGCGATGTTGCGTGGCGGTACGGGGAGTTTGCCGTCGCCTGAGACGTCGAGCGCGATGTGAAGAAAGTCGCCGCCCATAGGCGTGAAGGGCTGGGGCTTATCTTTTTGTCAGTGGGAGTATCGCGCATCCTTCAACGCCTGACGTACCGCAAGTATGATTCCTAACCCTGGCGTAAATATTCTTCCATTCACGATAGTGAACGCGCTGGTATCGGGTCCGTTGTTCTGACCATTACGATTATTGTTGCCATTCTGTCGTCTCTCGAGTGGATCATGATCCGGCGACCACGTTCCCAGCATCTGTGCATTGATGACATTGTGCATTAGACATGACGAAAAGAGAGATAGTAACGGAGAAAAAGTTGAGAAAATCATTGCTCAACAACAATGCATGCTGACCAGCAGTAACGACAGAAAGAAAGAAGCGTAAAGGATGGCCTGAAGCGGGAAATGTCGTTAGCAGTAAATCAAGGAAGCGCAATCACAGCGACGATTCGCAGCCCGCGATAGCCGGTACAGGTATCGCGTGCCCAGAGGCCTTGCATGATGCTTGGTAGAGGGCGAGAGCTGGCTTTCATGCAATATTGGACGAAATGAGCCTTGTGAGGCTTGAGTATCACGTTCCGAGACGCGTGGTGTCTGAGACGTGATGGTTCGGCTGTGGTTCAGCCGGCAGGGGCAACTATTCGCTTAGTCAGTTCTGCTGCAACGCTTTGGTCGCGTTGTCACAACGCGTCGACGCAAATGCACTATTCGCTTCTATAAACTCAGATGCTCATCGGTTTCTGGACATGGAGCTTTCATCTGTAACGTCCCCGATGTTTTTCCAGCGTCTCTGGTCTCGAGGGAGTACAGCGTCTACCTCAGCCGCTTATCAAGCCTCATAGGTAGCCGACCGTACTACGAGGGTGCAGATAAGGAAAAGAGAAAGGAGAAGACTGAACTCATGGATAACAGCGAATTCTTCGTACGCGTTCCCGATCCCTTGACATGCATGGCTGTCTGATGCTGAGTGCGTAGCCGAGAGCCGACCACGACATTGTTCGAGTACCTCCAGAAGCGTATTGCCGAAAACACAAAGCTAACTGTAGTCGAAATACGCGCTAATGCCGGAAAAGATAGGCAATTTGAGTGAAGGAAACGCCCTCGTTCCACCATCGACCTCGACCCAAGAGTAATGCAGGATATCATCGACGATATCTGGCTTTTTCTTTCACAAAGACTCCCAGACTTGGTACAAAACTAGCAGTCGACCTTATCGCTATAGTCATCTTTTCGCCAGTCCACCCGGTTTTAAGGAATCGTCACTCTTAGCCGGCATTGCTTCCCATATAAATGTGCCCTTCTATCTGATAAATCTACAAGGTACAGCTGACAACGACCTAAGTGCAGCTTTTAGCAGGGCCCCTTTCCGGAGCTGCATTGGCATTGAGGACGTTGACTGCATCGGTATTGGTGTTAGCGATCGCAGTGCACAGAAATCAAAACTACAGCCTGTACTAAAGGAATCATCAGAATGTGCTACGTTTACAAATGCTGCGCAAGTGTCTGCATTAGGGGCTCTGATGACGAAATTAATGAAGAAGCAAGCTACTGCAAATTATAAGGTTCTGGATCAAGTCGAAGCTATTGAATTGCCTACTCTTGATTGTTTGAGTGAGGGTGACGAAGTCGAGGCCAATAAAGACGAGAAGAACACTGGTTCTCCAAAGAGGCGTGTGACGCTTTCGGATCTACATAATGTTATTGACGGTATAAGTGCCACAGAAGGTGAAACGACCACCATGAGGATAAATCATCCTGAGAAGCTAGATTCAGCGTGGTGAGCGCACGTTCGAAATCTCGTACGCAAGCAAAGCCAGCTCCATCATGACCCTCAAGCGCCTCTTCGACAACGACGGTTGCGAACGATACACGTCAGACGCCATCGCTCGTTTCGCTCAAGCTTTCCAGGCTTAATATCCTAGCAAGCCCCGTATCACTACTGTTGAACTCGCCAAATTTTGCGGCCAATACCGTGGGAGGCCGGATATTGCTGTTAAGGAGTTCGCCGACTGGTTACAGCGAAGCACAGATAAGTTCTCTTGTCCTGCTGACTATACCCGCTTGATCCTCGTAAATAACTGCACTACGGACCGTTGTTACAGAAGACTGCTTTGTTGGGCTCACTTCATATCCACTCGGATCTGGCATAACTGTTGAGACGACGGTTGCCACGCTCAAAGCGAGAAACATTGTGCTGGCTTTGACCTTGCAGCTCCAGCACTAGGCTTGCCATCGACACAAAATATGTCACTGGGCTCTGATTTGGTCCCAGAGTTCATAGATGCTGGCTTTGGTAATGATATTGAGCCTTTGCTCAGGTACCACATATCAACTGTTGAGGCTTCACCGACCCCATCGACAGCATCTCTCTAGGATGAAACGTACCATATCCAGGCTAGCCTCGTTCGCTCAATCACCTTGGTCATGTCCACAGAGCCAGGTAAGTTAGCCCTAGCGTCGCCTCACCCCAATGCTGAAGACTTCATTGTACTTGAACAGGAGCACAACGATTCTGGCTTCGAAGATTTTGGCGTTGACGGCTCCGATACAGACAAATTTGACACGGCTGAAGAATAGTCTGACCCACCTAGCCCCTCAGACATGACAAGTAAGCTAAAAAGTTCAAAGCGTTTGTGCAAGACATCACGGTGCTTGAAGTCGGGTCAATTCCATACTAGGAAGGTGGAATATCATAGTAACCGGTCTCCGACAGGATCAAGAGCTTGTAGGCAACACTTGGACCTTGGCATACACAAAACCCAGCCAGGAGAGGTACTGATCACGAAACAGGTGCATATTCATTAGTCCATTCATAATTCATAAGTGAAACAAAGTAAAATCTATTGGTATCAAAGAAATTCGTAGCAACCGTGTGGCAAAGTGTACACACGGTCTTGTGATTATTGCCATGGCTGGTTGTTATATCTCCCATACTGGTGGTCTGACGACACAGAAGAAGTACTAGTCCCCTGGGTATCATGAGGTGCCGAATGGGCCAGAATCTCTTCTTTGCTCCCTGCCACGCTAATCTTGTCCTCGCTGTCCTCGCGCGCATGGCTCTGGACCGTGAATTCTGTTGTTTTTATAACGCTCGATGGGAACGCCTCATTGTTTGCTTTTCCCCTGCTAACGTGCACCTCCCATTGCTCTTGATGATCTGTGGCGGTGGCTAGAACGGAGCGTTGATGGCTCGTTCCCTTCTTTGTTCCCTTCATCGTGCCTAGTGCCACGCCTTGGGATTGAATGGCGCCGTTACTATATGAGCTGGCACACCCACTCCTGGCGTTCCTGGTCAACTGGACGAGGCGGTTGAGAATGCTGAATTCCAGTTTGAGCTTGATGCTGTATACGAGTGGCTTCCACGAGGTCTGGATCTCAAACATATCTGCAAACTCGAGGCCCAGGATGCTGAAGTCAAGGAGGATGACAAGGAAGTTGACGAACATGAGATGGTGAAGTAGGCTTTTCGTGCCAAAGTTGCCGATTGTACGTTCCATGCGGAGGAGTTTTGTGGTTTCGAAAACGTATAGGCCGGAGATGATGAGTTCCTGGGCGATGAAGACACTGAGCTGGATCTTTTCGTAGATCGCATAAGGCTTGACGAATGGGTCCGGGTTGCTCGAGTTGGCGCCGTAGACCAGAACAATGATGGGTATGTGAAGCCACACAGCGTTGGTTATAATCATGATCAGAACGGCTCTGAGTTTCTTCCTGTTATGCATCACGATGTGTAATCGCGAGTAAAGCACAACCGATTGTCCAGTAATCATGGCGCACCATCCTATGAGGATGAATGTGGCGTAAATGTTCTTTTCCGGGATCTCTGCCAGGTGCATGAGCGTGTATCCGGTGGCGTTGAAGACGATACCCCATGTTGAGATGGTAAAGCTCCAAAAGTAGAGCCCGCTCCGTCTCTTGAACAAGGTAAAAATGTAGACATTAAGTTCGAGAAAGTTGTAAAGTGCTATGCTGAGAAACACCGCCGCAATGGTCTTCGATACGACGACGTTGACGGCCATTGCAGGGCAGGTGGGTGTTCGAAGGGAGGGAAAAGCAGTGTTAACGAAGCAAAGAGTGGAGTTCAAAGCGGATCTGGGGATCACCTCCACAACACTTGTTCAGCCAGGCTCGGTGTAACCGGGGTTCCGCCATGGATGTGGATGGGTAGTCTGAACCTTCCCATGTTCCCTCCCCCCCATATCAGCCGTATCGTATCTGAGCCGCATCTGCAGGGGCACCAAGGACATACCGATCCTGGTACGTGCGGACAGAGCCAGGAAATCCCTCACAAGATCAGTCTGTTTCGCTCGGGGACAGCGGAAGACATCTCATGAGACCCTCCTTTTCTTGGCGACACATCATGTTCGCCTATGTGAATACCCCTATTGGTGGGCGTGAATGCCATGCCAGCCACACTAGCTTGAATCGCAATCGAACATCGGTCCGTTCCAGCTAATCCCCAACTCACATCGAGGTTGCGATTCGCTCCTGTATCATTATCTGCTTGCCGTGGCCGCCATGTCCCAGTCCAGTTCTTATTTCCCTGAGAAAAAAACCTTGGCTTTAGAAATCAAGCATCGTATGATCTGGGCTGTATTTCCTGGACATTATCGCCATGGATAACCAGCAAGTGAGTACAACAGGCCCTTCTCGCATTTGGATATTGCGTACTTTACATGAGGCCCGAGTGATTTCGATAACATGGTCGATGCCGCTCTAGACCACACAAGGAGGATGGGGAGTTTTCCGGATCGACCAAGAATGAGGCACATGGCTGGAGGCTTCATGCGCTTCTCCAACCCGCACCCGCAAAACGATACTCGGTTCCCGGTGTCACCTAGAATACGTCGGTTTGATCTTTCCTGCATTGACCGGCTCGCTTGCAGCGTACGCGATTTTAACTTTGAAGGTACCTGCAGGTGGCATGACGGAAGCGCGGTTCACGGTTTCTAGCTTCTGTGGCGATGTGCCAAGTAAATGGCGCCTTGTTCAGGTCGTTCCGCTGGTGCCGCTGAGCGACTTGAGAGTCAGACGCGTTCTTCGTACGCTCTGAGATGCGAAAGTAGCTGCCTGTTGCGGAAAGGCATATGAGTAGCGCTGCATCGCGAGAGAACTCAAATTGCCCAGGAGGAGGCAGTGCTGTATCGCTTCGTGTTTTGCGTTGCGTCGAAGTGGCGTTTAGCAATGAAGGAGCCGAAGGCATCCTTTCCACGGGGTCCGGGGTAACGCCGACTGGTAGTCTACGGCCCTTCTCTCGGGACCCAGTGGACTTAGCTTCCCCTTATACCTGCTGGAAGCCCAACATCACGTGCACCTTTCGCGAACTACCTTGCGCATTCGTGTTCAACACCCGGTGGCTTTAGACAAATATTTAGTAGACGCCACCATGTAACAGCGGCCTGCAGGACACTGGGTATGGTATAGCTTCGGCACCGCGTACCTGACAAGAGAAGGCGTGTTATCTTGGAATCCTCTTGGGCATCACTATCACTGCAGGATTTCCAGGGTTCTCAAGTCTAGAGCTCTGGCATTTCAAATTACATTACTTGTCTAATTGTGCAGTGTAACACATTATGGTATCAGCTCAGTAATCAACTAAGCAGCGACGTTGGAAGTTCCATTGATCACTGAATAGGTGCGCCAGATGCGGCCACAGTGGCGTAGAACAGCTTGGTCTGTCCGGTAATGACCATGCGTCCCTCTCCCGCGAACTTGAAGTTAGCCGCTGTCACGCCAGTGTAGATCTTGCCGATAAGCTTGCCAGAAGGGTTGTAGACCCATACACCGTCACCGGCACCAGCGTAAACGCGACCCTTGGAATCAGCGTGTACACCTATCAGAACATGTTAGCGCCTGCATTCAACAGTTAATGTCCGCGTCCAAGAACATACCGTCAGGGATAAAAGCGGGGACGTAAGCGAAGGTCTTGCGGTTGTCGAAGGTGCCGTCCTCGCTGACATCGTATGAGTAGATCGACGCAGGAGCAGTCAGGTTAAGACCGTAGAATCCGCCTACAACACCAGTATCGGAGACATAGGCCTTCTTGCCATCAGGCGAGATAGTGATTCCGTTGGGGTGGCCGAAACCATCGGCGACAACGGTCAGCGCACCAGTGTCGAAGTTGTAGCGGTACACCTGCTCTCGCATACCGGGGTAAGGACGGAAGTCCTGGAGGTATCCGTAAAGAGTGTCGGTGAAGTACAAATCACCGTTTGTTGGGTTAACGACCAAGTCGTTGAGCGAGCTGAACTGGCGACCAAAGTAGTTGTTCACAAGAGCTGTGATGATCAGTATCGTGTTGCACTCTCGAATTTCATTTGAGATGCTTACTGGTCGTGTTGTACGGTGGCAGAGGGTTCATAACATACAACGCGGATGGCACGTTGTCACCCTGGCCCTCACCAGCGAAGATAATGTTGCCCTTCCAGTTAGTGCCACCATTGGGGTTAATAACCTGTGGGTTGGAGGTGTTGACCACAGTCACGGGAACTGCCTCGAGGGTTCCATTCCTCACTTTCTCGGCATCCGAAAGCTTGATCTTCTGGATAATGGAAGACTTGTTCAGTCCGGTGCCCGCGGCAGGAGCACCAGCATTCTGGACGAAGAAAACTTCCTCAGTCGGAGGGTACCAAGTGACAGCCTCATGGAAGATGGGGTCCGACTCTGAGGTTGCAATGGTGGTCAACGAAGGGCTGTCACCAATGACATCGTAGAATTCCTCATCATAGATGTGGAAGGGCTTGGCTGATAGAGACTCTTCGGTTACACCGGGCCAAACAAACAGCTATAGCACTGTTAGATATCCCAAGTTGGATGGAGCTGCTCGAGATGGAAAACATACCGTTGAAGCATTAGCTCCGGAAGGCGGTGGGACATTTGGCAGAACATTGAAGCTCTTCTGGTCGACGATCTGCGCAGACTCGGGTACAGTCTGCGCGAAAGCATAGCTGACTGCTGCACTAGCAGCCAGGAAGACGGTGGTAGATGGCATCTTGAATTGAGTTTGACCGACTGTAACTCTCCAAACTCTGGGGACAGCCACAGTATAAGAAGTACATGGTTTCTGCACGGATAATCTCTTCACCGTTTGTCTCTAGGCCTGTTGAAAATTAGATTATCTCGGCATGTATCCATATAGCGGTATTTTCGTCATCATGCGGCTCGCTGTCGACTACATTCGGCATGGCATCATGGAAGAGGGCCGATGGCGCTCAATTAGTCAAGGATTAGAAAGGCCGGTGATGAAGCTAGGCGCAATGACCCCGTGGGGTTGGGGATATCGCGACCCCGCCTTGAAGTCGCACATTGAACTCCAATTCCATCCGCGGAGTAACGTTTCGACTACCAATGTGGTGCGTTCGCGCCATAACACCTCATTCAATAAGGAACGCTGTTCTCGCGCAGATTGTAGGCTAAACAGGGCGTAGGATACTTTGTATGCAGCTTACCATATGTTCCTTGCTTCCCGATGCGCACCAAGCCGCGGTGCCTTCTTGGCGCGACAGTTTGGCCGGACCGGCTAGGGTATCTCGAGCCGTTTCCGTTGCCGGTATTCTTTGAACAATGCACCAGAAGGCTAGATTCATCTCTTCGTGTTCGAACCCGGGGACGGAGATGCATTGCCGGATGGGGCTGCTGCAGGAATGGCATTCCTGGGTTCCATGCCCATGTCCTGCACATATATTAAAAAGCTTAGCTTATACCTGTCGATAATTGGGAACCATACCTGCGGGTTCTAATCGGCTGATCATATGCAAGTCTGGCACCAGAACTGAACACAGTCGAGATGCAAGTGCATACCTAGTGTCAGTGTCTTGTCCCAAATTTCAGCAACGGCCTCGTGCCTGGTATAACTTCAATAGCAAGTGAACATAAGCCAAGCAGGTATCTGAGCCAAAGGCCTCTGTTCTTGTTCGATGTCATTTCTCGAACGTGGATGACTTTGCTGGCTCACAAAATTCGCCAACCTTGGTTTCTTTACATGAATTGGTTCGATCGCAACCACAGCTCTTTCCTGTCCCGAATCACAACACTAAACTCGCCCAAAAAATTGGAAACAAAGAGGAAAAGCACACATAAGAGGGCATGACATAACCTAACACCGACGCAAAGCAATTTCGAATTGATCTGTAGAACAAGATAGCACTGAAGAAGACGATTATTGAACGAACCTTTTACTACTCCTTCACATCCATTGACGCAAGTCCGGCGGCCAACATCACATCTCATTATCAGTCACATCTACAACCCCATCCCTCTCGCGTTCATAGACATATTTACGAAGCCAAGCTCTAGCAGTTCTTGTTAGTTAGATAAAGAGCTCAATCTGCTTCCAACCGTTCAATGCGAATTATCATCCCATCTTACACCTCAAGGCTAGGTCTACCTGCAAAAGCCTGCGTTCATACGCGACTATACCTAAGGCTTAGTATATCCGCTTCATACAGAAGCGCGTTGGCAATGGCAGCTGCTTATGAGGGTGGCTTCATTCTGTTAGTTGATAACAGTAGCGCTTGATCGCACGGTCCGAAAACCATACAACCATATCAGCATACATACGGCACATCACACGCGTCGCAAGCAAAAGACTTGAAAATGGGTCATGAAGATCGTGAGTGATATTGCTCTTTGAACATTAACCCCGATGTCCACCTTCCAACCGTCCCACCAACCACCGCCATAACCCAACCAGCCATCTCAACTCCAACCTCCTACGTTGATACAGTAAAAGCCGTACCAGTCATTCAATGATGCACAAAGACAAAGAGAAAAAACGCCAATCCCCATTCGCGCTGTTTTCCAGCTGCGAAGGTATCCTCGTGGGGGGATGCATATGCAACGCAGAGAACTCCAAGTATAATAGCCAAACCCAAAACCCGCCAAGAGGGGGACAACCCAGTGCCCCAAGATATCATGGCCGTAACGTTCAGAAGCTCGTAATAACAGTGATGAAGAACAAAGGAAAAGGTACAAAGGAAACAAAGACAAAAACAGGCGACTCGTGATACAGTGAGTCGTTAAAGCATCAGAAGTGCTTTTTGCCCTTTTTCCGATCTCAAAACGCCAGATCGTGGAAATAGTGTTACAAGGGTGGTGATGTTGATGATGTCGAGGTACAACAGTATCGCAAGACATTCAGAAGATGGCTGCAGATGCACGTCGTAACCAAGACGGTGTTTGTGCGGAGTAAACGGAGCGGAGTTGAACAAGAAAACGATATTGGATGAGCGCTTAGCTCATGTCCATCATGTCTTCAAAGACACTGTCCTGGTGATCACCAGTGTAAGTGGCAAGGACTTCGTCGCTGGGCCCGAAGTTGCCCTCGTAGATAGTGGCACCAGCTCGGCGTCTTGACTCGACCCATCGGCAACCGTAACATTGGAGTACTTGCTCCGCAGTTGGTCGCATTTCGGGGTCTCGGTTCAGCATGGCGTAGACGACGTGGTCCATAGAGTTGGGGTCGTTGCGCTGCACCATGAATGAAGGCGCGCGAGCCAGCTCCTCCTCGGGGTTAGAGGCCGGCTTGACCATAATGGAGGCCATCGAGTCTTCAGCAGCATCCGACATGAGGAAGCCGTCCATGGAAGGCCTTGCCTGTTCAGAGACTGGGTCGCCATGGACGTCGCGACTGAGGGTGCTGCTGTCGGCGCTCCAAGTAAGGCTGGGGAGTACGCTCTCAAACTCGCCAGATCGTAGCTTTTGCCAGTAGTCGCCATTCTCGGGGATAACGCAATTGCCAGCAATTTCAGCGAGCATCATGCCAAGTGCAAAGACATCGGCAGGCTTGTCGAATCGGCCGGAGAGTTGCTCGGGTGCGAGATAATGACGGTCGCCTTCGCCATCGATACCAGCTGGAGCTGGCCACTGACTCGCTAGACCAAAGTCTGCGATCTTGAGTCCACCCTCAAAGTCGATGAGGATGTTGGCGGGCTTAAGGTCAAGATGAATATAGCCAGCGTCGTGAATGGCCTTGAGACCCTGCAATAGGATTAGCGGTGTGTTGCGAACAAAGACTATATTTAGACATACCATGGAAAGCTCGAGCAGGATCTTCCAGATGCGGAAGTCATCGAGACGGCTATTAAAGCCAACAGTGTCGAGGTATTTCCTCAAGTTACCGCCCTCACAATACTCAGTCTGGATGTATAGGTGCTGGTCAAACTCCCAGTGGGTTTTGATGTCCAACACATGCTCGTGGCCTTGAAGAGCGTAGAGGATATCGACCTCACGCATCTTCTTCTGGCGGTCGCCTGCACCAATGTACGGCTTCTTCGACTTCTTTACAACCCATACCTGGCTGCCAGCGGGTGACCTTAGCGGCGAGATCTTGACCGGCTGGCCCACACGGTAGACTGTAGAAAACTCGCCCTCTCCGCCATCGAGAGGCTTGATCTCGTGGAACCTTTCACTCAAGGATTCATCCACGTCGTTCTTTGTTAGGCCGATGGGAATTGCGCCTTGAACACTACCGAAGAAGCCGGAGTCACGTGGTGTTGTCGGTGTGGCAGGCGCGAAAGAGCCAAAGCTGCTGTTGAAAGGGAAAGATCCCCGTCTGTTGCCGGAGATTGATAGCTTGCTCGCGTCAAGGGGAGCGGAAGATTCGTGCGCGGGGGTGTGTGGTGATGGCGCGCCAAAGAGACTTCCAGCTGCTGTAGAATGTTTAGTGTTGCTCTCGCTATTCAGTGACTGAAGAGGTGTACGGGCAACCCGCCGCGAAAAAGACAGAGGGTGAGCCACAGCATTGGTTTGCCGCAACAGCCGACCTTGATTCGCGCTGAGAGCATGTGCAGAAGGGGACTTGTTAACCGTTGACTTGGACTCCTCGTCTTCTGACGAGCTGTCTTCATCCGGAAAATCAACTAGATCTGTATGAGATATGTACTTACTCGTCGGCCGACCGTCATTGTCGGGTACTGCAAATGTATCTTGGCCAATAGAAGGGCGCGAGCGGAACGTCTTACGGCGCAGGCTGCTCTCCTTGGAACGACGACTAGATCCATTACTGGGTTTGGTTGGGGTAGGTGGTGTGTCATCCGCACTCAATTGACTGTCACCCATCCGGTTCGCCGTCGGTGATTGTGTGTCTGGCTGGGCATCTTCGTCATTGTCTCCGTCGATACTTACAAAGCTGCCTCGGCGTTGCATGGTACTACCCATGCCACCGAAGATGCTTGGTCGCTTGCCGAATGAGTCTGTTGTGAACTTTGACACATTTGATACACTCGCACTGAATGGCGTGCTAGGCGTACCAAACTGATGCTGTGGTCGAGATTCATTGCCGAAGAGACTGCCACTCCTCTTGACCAAGGGTGTGTCAATGTTGACTGTGCGGTCTCCTGAAGCTGGAGGGAACGACTGGCGCTTTGATGGCGTGTCGGGCATGACATAGACGCCACCTGCTGCTGGCTCGTCGGCATTACGGTTCTTCTTGGACAAGAGGCCAGTAGAGAAGGCGACAGGTGCCGCCGGCGCGATCTTGAAAGGTGTGTCGAATGAGTCCTGCGACGATTGCTCACCATCTGGTGCAAATGGGCGTCCGATACCGATCGGTAGTGAGCGAGAGAAATGTGGGTTAGCGGACATCGGAGGCGGGGGGAATGCAGGGCCACCCCATTGAACGGCTGGAGCTCGGGGAGGGGCCATTGGTGTGCCGTGTACGCTCGAGGAAGCAGATGCTGGTGTATGCGCATGTGATAGTGGATGAGGTTGTGCTCCACCACGAGGGAATGGTGTTGGCAAACCCATGCGCCCGGCGTCGAATGTGGACTTGCGGAAAGGCGTCTGCATGGGTGGGGTTTGTATCGATTGGTTCACGGTGCTATCTAGCGACATGCGGTTGCGCGTCTTGGAGGCAGCCGGTCCAGGCATAGCGAACTCACCGTCGTGGCTTGGCTTGCGCGGAGTGTTGGAGCGCTGCGACAGAGTCGACCTCCGCAATGAGGTTGTCCGACGGACGGGCGATGTCGCGCCAGAGATAGGTGAACTGTTGAAACAAAAGCCGTTGGTCATGTCGTTGAACGGGCGCGAGCTCTCATCAGCAGAGATGCGCGGTGCGGGGGTTGGGTCGAATATGCTCTCGAAGTCGTTTCCGAGGCTCGAGACGCCATGCAGACTCCGGCGCTTCGCCATAGGGCTGCTGCCGGGAGATCCGCTGAGATTCATAAGTCCATCGTTGCGCTTGAGTGGGCTTGACTTTGCGGGAGGCGCGGGCGACAATTCGGGGCGACGCGCAAACTCGAATTTGATGGGTTTGTCGTCTACTTCAAGTCGCTTGTCCATGTCCAT